AAAGCCGTCAAATCCCAAACCCCCCTTCCGCCTAGCCTTATGCAACAACCCCTAGAGTTGATAAACCCAAATTCATGAACCAAGCCCTTTTTCAATCCCTGATCCCTGCGGCCCCTGACCCCAGAACTCCGCCCATAACCCTGGAGCCTCAACATGAAGCCCCAGGCCCGAAACCCTGTCCTCATGTCATGCCGCGATCACGTTCGCCCATGATGTACGGCCGGCGTCGGTCACGGTGTGGGCCCTGTGTGCAATGGGGGGTTTAGTAAGGGGTTGAAGTGCAGCCCCCCCCCCCTCCCCTCTCAGCTGGTCATGGTGATGGCCCGTAGGCACTGTGCTCACAGGCATGAACTGCATTCAAGCCTGAGCCTCGCTCACAACCCAAAGCCCGTGATCCCATGAAGCTAGGTCTTTGAATCTCTTTGGAAGCCTCAAGCAGCAAACCTTCAGCCACGACCCGGCACACCCCCAAAGATCAAAGTTGTAAACAAAAGCGCTTGGTGGGAGCCCTTGAATCCGAGGCCCTGGAAGCCGTGTGCTGCCACCTTTGCGCAGCTGCGCACCCAGAATGCCTCAAGCCGCAAGGTCAGGATGCCGCAATGCTAGCTGTTGTGGCAGGTGCGGGGTGAGTTTTATCCATTTTGATGTCCATGTGAACGCCAATTGCGGGCCTCGGCCGGAACCGTTGGCCGTAGACTGCCACGAAGTCTCGTACAAGCCTTACGCTTGACCAACCCACACAAAGAGCGATAATGACCAATCTACCATCACAGTAACGAGATGTGCGAATTCCCCGAGGCTGCGATGGCTCGAGAACTGCGTGGATTGCAACGGGCCGTGGAGGCTCTGTTTGCGGAACATCGACAGAACAGTTTGCAAGTGATCCGAGCCTTCAAGAAATTGAGCACGCAGCCTCTTCTTATATTGAAAGCGGCGAACTATTCACAACAATCGGTTCACGAGAGTCATTGCGAGGGTGCGACTCATGCAAGACTGGATCGGTCCTGTGTGGCAATGCATATCCTACCAAACGAGTTCATGCAGCACCAGCTCTGCCATTGCTCGAAACCCACTTCTTGCACTAACCTCAGAGAGGGCACATGGATCCCCGAAAATGCAACTCCAAGCCCGATGTGGCTTGCATAGGCTTGCCGTCTTCGGGGGCTTCAACCGCTGTCCTAATCCAGAAGCCAGGGGGTTTGAATAGATCCGAAGTGATGACACTCCCGGTCTTTCTTTTGGCGGTCAGCATACGTCGACGCAGTGGATCGTACACAACTGCACAGACAGCATCTGGCAGCATAGGAGAGACACCCTTGCAGCGTGTGTGTAGGGAACTGATTCCGCCGGCGCTAGGCTTTGTAGGGAGGTGTGTGCGTCGCGCCCTCAGCCTCCCTTGGTTGGAGCACGAAAGACTTTGTTGCGTGTTTCAGGCATTGAAACCCTTAGTGCTAGGAATCGCTGCTCAACTGCGTTTCCTGTAGTTACTGGAATCAATGCAAACAGTCTCTAACTTGGAGGCGTGGTAGTAGTAGTGGCTATATAGGCAACTTGCCAGAGGAAGATGCCAGTAACATTGAGCGTACTTGAGCATGCTTCTTGGGTCGGCAGTTGCTATTAAGTAGGTTGGCAGCCGGTACAGCCTGGCAATGCACACGCTTGAGGTGCAGCGTCTGCAGCAGGGAGGCGGCTTGCAATTACAGTATTGCTGGTTCTTGGTTTAGGCACACAATTGAGATTCAGGAGATGTCCGCGAGTACTGTCAGCTGTAACGAATTCGGTGGAATGTTTTGGCGGCGCAGCGACTTCAGAACCTAGAATGGAAGAATGTTTGGCTGCAGTGGTTCTACGTTCTTTTGGCCAGACTTGATTCAAGGTTTGTGGCTGTTTCAGCGAAAGGATTAGGAAAGCTTAGGGCAAGTTTGGGGTTGAAGGACATCATGGGAGCGCCCGGATTTCTCGATACAATTTGGGAGTGGCAACCATGTCTTCACCCTTTCTAGCTATATGTCGCAGAGCTGTGCTCTCCTAATTTCTTGGGTGTTTGTACGCTCTAGTTAGATAGCACCATGCTTAGTCCTCGACCAGAGGCACCGGCTCGCTTTAACTTCGGCTACGCTGACCCGACCGGTTCTGGTACCTCGCGTGCCTTGGTCCCAACTTGATTGCAAAACAATGCTGCCTGATGGCTATTGCGAAGGCTGTTGAAGCCTTCAAAATAATGCTACCAAACTGTTGGAAAGTAGTAGCACACTTGCCACTGCTAGTAGCGGGAGTGTACAGGTGGAAGTGCCGGCAGACCTATTGGCGGTAGCAGCGCTGGCTGAAGGGCGTAACCTGGATGAGGTCGCTCTGTTTGTTAGTTGATACGGTCCCCTCTGTTTGTTACATTACCCATGCATGTAATCACTCCAGCTACGCAGTCGGGCTCAGGATGCAGGTGTACCTCCTCGAAGACAGACGGCGAGTGCTTGTGGCCCGGCAACAGCATGATGACAAATATTTCATTTGCCATGCGGGCTTGAAGTTTGGGTTTTCAGCGAACGAAACCATGTCCTTCCGGAGAGCCTGCAGCATCGCCAAACAATGCGTCATCAGCGGTGAACCGCAAAGGAAACTACACTGCATCGGTTTGAGCACACGGATTTTCGAAACATGAAGATTCGTTTTGCAAGCCTGCAAGACAATCGCGCACGCCTCGCAGCGCAGCACAACAAATCAACGCGTCACGGCATTGCCCCAAGACCTTCATCCAAGTAGTTGAGGGTTGAGAGGTTTGGTATATGACTCAACTGACCGCATAGTGACATAGTGCACCCTAGTATCCCGATTGGCTTCATATATGGGCCCCTTCGCGACAGCTTCGTCTTGCTCCTCCTCCTCCTCCTCCTCCTCCTCCTATGCCCACTCCTACAACGCCTACTCCTACTATTACTACAAGCCATAACAGTAACAGTACTAAAAATGATACCAATCTTGAGGCACTGTAGGAGAACCTAACATCAAAACAAGAAGGTCCTTAAAGCTAAACCCCCCGAGCAGCAAAGCACGCAAACAAATTGGGCGGTTCAGGGCCCTCAACCTTGGCGTCAGAATCCTGCACCGGCCCGAGGCCGAGGCAGTTGCTGCCATGGATGCGGGGAGTCTGGGGTTCAAGACTCCGTAGCATCCTCGAATGCGACGCAGCAGCGCTACCAGACTCTGCCATCATAAGATTGGGGGGCCTTGGTCGTCACTTGTTGAGAAGCAGAAATGTAATGTACAGTAAGAGCCACGTTGAACAACCGCTTTGACTAATGACGCATGCCGTGACCGTAGTGCAAGGTTACCGTATTTGGCTTCGTTTGGTGCTGGTAGTGTAGGAATACAGGAAATATCCAGTATCCTTCGGCCTTGTTTTTCCTTCGGGAGGGGCAGAGCTTGTGCATTGAAAAGACATCGTCTAAGCCTTTTCGAGGACATGCAAGGTCCGTGAAAGTGCACAGTGTTTCATACCAGGCAAGCAGCGCGATTCACATGAGCAGCGCGTGCGTCTTGCGAGAAGGATTTTGTAATGCCCTGTCCACGACAGGGCCACTTGTTCATTTTCTGGTCTCTTCATGTGCTCTGTGCCTCCGAGCTAAATCAGGCCCAAGCCTGCAACGCTGTTCGTCCTGTTTTGCTAGCTGCTTTCATAAGTGCGTAGACGGAACCCAGCAGCTACCCAGCATGTGTTCATGCTGCACGACCACCCGCATTTGCACCTCATCGCCCACTTCATCGTCGGTGTCACCGGATGGTCATACCATCATCACTACTATCATTGCCACCGGCAGCAACAGCAGCAAAGTCATGTTGTCATCAGTAGCACCATCACCACCACAACCATCACACTCGCAAGAGCTTGCAGAGCATCACCATCACTACCCCACAAGCAGCAGCGGCAGCACCACCACCACCACCATCATCATCATCACCACCACCACCACCATAATCATCATCATCATCATCATCGTCATCAGCGTCTTGTCACCATCACCATCACCCTCACAGCATCATCATCATCATCATCACGACCATTTTCCGCAACACCAAGCGCAGCATCAGCATTATCGTTCGTTCGTCGTCTTCACCTCGGGGACAGCAGTCCTAGCATTGCTGGTCCACATTGCTAGCTTTCTATGGGCTAGTACTAGTAGTTGGTCTGGCCTTCTCTGACATGCAGGCTTACTTGATGTGCCACTGAGGCAGGGAAGCGAGAAAGGAAGTGGCACGGCACCCGTGGCCGATGGGCGAAAGGGCGCGGCTGCCATTCCCGCGCCACGGTGGAATTTACAAAGTATTGCTGCTGCTCATGATGATAACGATAATGATGATGATGATGGTGGGTGGTGGTTATCAGCATCTTGATGGCAACGGCAACGACGGCAATGCTGAGATGACTGTTGATGGTGGCGACGGCGACGATGATGAGAGTGGCGATGGTGATGATGATGGTTGATGATTGATGACTGATGACTGATGATTGATGATTGGTGTTTGATGATTGATAATGAATGATGATGGTGGTGAGAATGATGACGATGAGAATGCCGGGGTTGGTTGTGATGGTCGGCCATCACAATCATCATCAGGACTACTGCGCTCTTGAGGTTCTGGATTCTTGCAAATCGGGAGGGGGGGGTTGTGATTGGGCCACGAGCCGCCACACCCACAGGACTCTACCGCTGCCTGGGCTCTATTCGGTAGGCGCATAAAGCGGGTCTTGCTTGACCCTAGAGCCGCGAAAGAGCCTTACAACAGCGTGTGCAAGTTTCAAGCTGCTGCTCTCCCAAACCCCGTCGAATGTCTCGCCAATACCCTACTTTTCAAGCTTTTGCCGGAATCGAAGCAAAACCCAAGCCAGGCTGGAGCTTGACGGCGCTAGCCCAAACCTCCAAACAACCTTCTTCCGGTACGACTAAATTAGGCTCAGGGTTGTCAGGGCCTAGAACCGTCCCTCATGGCACTGGCGGTATTCTATGGAGTTTGACTTCGACGTCGGTCGGGTCCTCGTGCCCTTCGCGCTGGAGGGAGATGCGGGTGAGGGCACGCCCCAGGCGCGGCGAGCATACGGTTCTTCAGTAACGAGTACTTGTTGCTCAACAGACTGTTCTCACTACTATGTTTCGGCTTCTTTGGCAGTTGAGGGTGGTCCAGCTCTCCGAGCAAAGTCACTATGTCAGCTCTGGTCTTGGACTCTGAATTTGTGTTTCAAACTTGTTAGAGTTTAAAGGTCATGGTGTAGTGTTTAGGGTTAGGGTTCTTATTCCTGGTCCTGCTGCGCTTGGTGTGGAGATGCTTTGTCGTTTTAACTGGTGTCGTCTTGACTTTCAAGAACCCCATGGAGCGCTTCTGGTAGACTTCCGCCAAGCCCTCCTGGCCTCACCAGCGCCCCTCAGCCTGAGCCCTCTGCTTCGGCAGTGCCGGTAGGTGGCGCGCTTGGACGACTCCGTGGGGACCTCGTTTTTGCGGCTTTGGTACCGGGGGCTGATCACTGAACCCGACTTGTCGGTTTGGGGTTCAGGACGGTTTGATTGTGCAAACGGATCGTTGTTGCTGAGATTCTACTGCTTCTCCCCCTTAGGTCCTAGAGCATTTGCTTCCTCGTAACAGAGTGTAGAAGACGTGGTGGCGAGATGTGTGCCTTGCTGCATTGCGGCCATCGGTGTGGTCTTTCTCTTGTTCTTCGGTTTCGACTGTCAGTGAATTGAAGCCATTACTTGGACTCTCGACTGCTGTTCGAGTCAGTACTTCCGATGCCCCAAGCCCTAAACTCGAATGGCCGACCTGATGGTAGGGCGACGTTAGGACTCTTGGGCAATGCCATGCGGGCTGCAGTCTGTGGCTCTTCTTTGCGGAAGTGCTTCAAGGTAAACACCACCTCCCTCAGCCCGCCTGACGAAGGCTCTGAACGGCGGGAAGGGCGCCCTTCTTCGCGAGCTGCTGGGCGTTCTGGGCGAGGGATCCAGGCCCCTTCCGAGCGGTGCTGCCATTGGGGAGGTCTCTACTTCTCCAGGTCTCTAGGTCTCAATCCCCCCCAACCCATGACTTCAAGAAGAAGCTTCAATTTTTCGCCTCCCTCCCAGGCGCGCCCAGGGCTTGTCGAAGCCCGTCACCACAGCCGGACCGCTGATGTCGTTGCTTGGTTATTGGAAGTCTCAGGTCTAGCCCTACTTCTCATCATGTAGCGAACACTAATTTCGAGAACCCCCCCCGCCCGCGCCAGAAAAAGAAACGGGTGGACAGGGTCTTGTTGCGGTTTCAGGCAGTTGCCTTCGTATTGGCATGCCATGCATGCGCGGTGGGGTGCTATTTTGCACTATGTTGATTTCTGTAGTCTTAGTACTATACTATAGTCTACAGATGTGTTGTGCCGGCGTTGTGGGCAGTTGCGGAGTGTCTGTTACTGGCAAATCGAAACACCCCAGCACACACAAAATCTTCAAACTCTAAGACTCTAAGCAGCTTCCGACCCCCCAAAGCCCAAGGAACAGAATCTATTTGCTCTACATGGGACGGTACGCCCTGGGACTGCTGAAGGCCGGCATTTATGTGTGTAGCACGGCCAACTACACACAGAGGTCCAGGGCTTCTGTCTTGGAGTGTTAGGCCGAGTTGGATCTTCTTTGTTGAATTTGGGCTTCAACTCCAGTGGTAGATGCGTTTCTCCACGACTAGGGGTCTGAATATCTTCTTAAACACCCGGCCCGGTCTGATTAGAGTTGTGGTCTTCTTTTGGGTGATCAGCTTAGGCGCTGCTTTGGTTACGCTTGCACATGCGTCTGGGTTACATCGAGTTTTGCTGTGAATTTGCTTCACTAGTATGAGTCACCGGGATCAACTTGCGATCGAAGTCGATTTGGTAAACGCCGCAATTGCATGGTTTCGGGTCCATGTAGGCTTGACATTGCGATCTTGCGATCTGGGGCTGAATTAAACTGCATTTAGTGAGCCCCACTTCACACAAAGGGGCTCAACTCCAAACCGCAACTCCCGTACTAAGAAGACAAGAAGACCCTGCACCAGAAAAGTCTCACCCCAAAACCCCCTTGAAAAAAGCTGCTCTGAGCCCAGGTCGGGACTAAGCGGCTTTTCGTGTCCCGCGGCGAGAAGGAGGCCGCAGAAGGAGTCACCTTGAGAGTTTAGTATACTTACAAAAGAGCTCGACGCCGCATTTCTAGAGGATTTGGGGTTTAGGAGCTGTTGGTTTGGTTCATTTGACTCCAGGGGTTTTGTAGGGGTTTTGGTAGGGTTTGGCTTTCAGGTCTGTGCTGGCTCATTGCATATACTTGAGGTCCTCTGATCCCAGCAAACTCGACACTCTCGGTCTCACCCGGCCGGACATCCGGATCTAACGATTCAGGACCAAAGTTGAATCTCCTGCCACCGCATTCTGCCTCCTACTTCTCGGCAGGCCTCTATCCTTGTAGCATAATCTGTCCCAGATGCCAGTCCAACCCCCAACCAGTTCTTGCACTTCTTGTCAAGAACCGTAAGAGTTTCAGGAACCAAGTGAGACAGATAGGGCTGACAGGTATCGTATTGGTATTCCTGCATGACAGTACACTTTCGGGGGCCTGCAGCTTCCAGCTCCGGCCCTGAGTTTGGGGTTCTGAGCAGGGCTTGGTTGACATCTCGCCCACCTGCGTGTTGGACTTCTACGTGGTGGAGGGGCACCAGCGCGGAGGCGCCGCACCGGGCTTTAGTAAGATGTTCGAGATGGATCTGAGAGTCAGGTGTGGTTGGCTTGAAGGGGTCTTTCTAGGGTTTCAGAGCGTTCTTTAAGGCTTTAGCTAGCGTTGCGGACGTAGATTTTCGTGTCTCAGTGTATCCGCTCTTGCCTGTTGGTTTGTTTGATGTCCGACGAGGCTCAAGCAGCAGATTTGCAGCCTAAGCATGATTGTCGTCATCGTTAGCTGTGGTACTGTCCTGGTATATTTGCTGGACATTGAATCCTGTAGCTGCCCGAAGCCCGCTGCCGCGCACTATAAGTAGACCCAGCAAGTGGCCGTGAAGTCCGGCAAGTGGCCGTGAAGCCGTGAACCCCGCACTGCCACACCGCCCAACCCAAGAGCGCGTGCGTTTCCAATGAGACCTCGGAGGCCTGGGCCGGCGCTTGTTCGACACGATGCTGCGATGCCACTCGGCTCCGCTCGCCTACTGCTCCTGCTCCTGACTACTAAATACTAACTACTCACTACTAACAACTAACTACTACTTCTGCTACTGCTGCTACGAGTGCAACAAGCGCTACAGCCGCTACTGCTGCTCCTAGTGCCGCTGCGACTGCCGCTGCCACTGACTTTAACCAAAACCACGACCACGAGGAATAGTCGTCGCCGTAGGAGGAGGAGTAGCTGCTGCTGTGGCAGTAGCTGTCGTAAAAGAATACGGTAAGTAGTGGTTCGTGTGCTAGTGCTGCAACTCTGTACTGACAAGATAGACATGCCAAGCTTTCAATCGCCAAACGCACTTGACCCCGCAGCTATCGAGCCCTGGTTCCTAAATTCTAAGTCCCAAGCCATGTGTAGCTTCAAGGTGAGCACACCTCGCCAGAGAGGCCGGGAAGGGGATTCAATCATTTCCCGCGGTGTCAGGCCACCTACAGATCGACTTGTTGAGAGAGTTGAGGACCCCTGTTTCGATCCCTGACAGAGAACCGACTTTGGAGAACCCCGCCCATGTGACCCACATGATTGACTTGTAGTGATGGCTGAACAATGACGCTGAGAGGCTCCGTTCCTTTCCAGATAGGAATCCAAAGACAGACCTTACATACCCTTATCCTGTGTTGAGTTTTGAATCCTAATACCCGCAGGCCCAGGAAGGTACCTTGGGCTTGTCATTCGAAGTCGGGAACTTTCCGAAAAAGGTTTAAGTTCAGGAATCAGGCCTGCAGACCCAGGCCTCTTCCCTGAACTTGGAAGCACCATTTCGGCGATGCGCTCTGGTTTTGGAGATCGTTTTCTGGTGTCATCTGAGCGCAAACTATTCAGCCAGCCCTCCCCGGCAAAAACGCAAATCCTCGTTCCACCAGGGTCCATCTCCTTGCAACCTCACTTCAAAGGCTTGCGTATGACCGGCCCTCGCCGAAGCTGATCGGCTTCCTGAGAAGACACTATGGCCTGGCGCCGTACCAGCCGCAGGCCCGCCGGTTGTGTGCACCTCCTCATACACCATGACATACGGCAGCATAGTCTTGCAGAGCCCAAGGCAGCTGGTAAACCGGCCGCTGCAATGTAACAGCATGCGATCGGAAGTCGGATGACATTCCCAGCTAAATTTGAAAGGAAGGGTTAGGGTTCTTAAAGACGACGGCTTAAAGGTCCCGTGGCGAACTCCTTCCAAGCAGCGCTCTTCAAAACTCCTCTGCTCGCAACCGGGGGTGAAGATTTTGAATGGTTTCTTTGCCAGTCATGAGAGAGTCCCATGCAAACCAGGCCTGATTGGCAGTCTTTGTCGTTGTTCCGAATCTAGGTACAGCCGACCGCGTGAAAATTTGGGGCAAGTCTCGAGATGTCGAATCTGTGTATAGTATGCTCAGACGTCCAGGATGAATGTCCGTCACTTCTCATCCCAGGTCTGCATGTTGGTTGATTAGGAGTGTCACGATCTCCAGGCCAACCACTTTGTGGTCTTCGATGCCTACTGGGCCAAAGCAGGTGCTCTGCCAACTTCACCAGGGCCCCAGGTGTTCCACAGAGCCATGAATCCCAAACCCCTGGCCTTCATGCCTCCAAATTTAAGCCCCAAGCCTTTCACCGTCTGAAGATGGTTCGAGGGCGGGTTGCGGAGTTGAAAGGGGCTGTTGGCAACGCGCTAGCTTCTCTGTATCGGTGGAAGCAGTGTGAATGGATTAGTCTTTTCTTTCGGGTGGGTATTTGCCCATCCCGCTTATCTCGTGAGTACTTAGCCGAACCGATCGCCAGCCCGCAACGCGAAAGTCTAAACCTGAAGCCTTGCATCCGAAAGCAATTTTCATGGAGCCCATCCCCTTAAGCCGGAAAGCCCGAAAGCCATAAACTCTACAGGTCCTAGATCTCCTAGAAGCCTTGCACGCTCAGGGGTCGACCCGGCCCGGAGTCGCAGCTCAGCTCCAGGCGCGATTCGCGATTCATCAGCTCGGGATTGCGAAAAGTTCCGAAGGTACTAGGACCACTAGGACCACGAGGACACGAGAACGCCCAACCCTCAACCCCCCCGATCCTTAAGCCTCAGCCCCAACTCTTTGAAACACCAGACTGATCCCTGTTCCGTCTCAGGCCAGAGGGCCCGGGAACTGGCGGCAAAACTTCCGCCTGCGCCGGTGCCCTTGGGTCAGGGGGATTTAGGCGTGTAGGGTTGAGTATGAAGATTTAAGACCAGCTTGAGTGCTACGTAAAAGTCATGGACGTTCAGGATGCCTTTAAATTCAGAGTTGTCGGTCTTCAGGACCGTTTGCATATTCTAGACGCGAGCGACGTTGCGACAACACTCTTGCACGGAGTCCTTCATGAAGGAACTCCCCCGAGTGGCATCAGGATGGCTTCAACGGTTTTGAAGGCTGAGTCGCAGCGGCTGGTTTCCGGACTCAAGGGTTGAAGCCTTCAGCCAGATGGGTGGAAACCCTGAGCCAACGCCCTAAACCTGTGCCCGAACAGAGCTGCAATGCGCATAGGAATACCTCCAAATCTCGTGAACCAGCAATCCGCTGCTGATGGTGCTGCCGCTGCCGAAAGGTCTGCTACTGCTGCCTCCACTACGAAACTATCACCACGACTACAAACACGACGACGGTGACGAGGACGACGACGAACACGACGACCATGATGACGATGAGGAGGCGACGTCTGCTAGTGTCTGCAAATGGCACATGGATGGTCTCCCGGCAACGAGCCAGCACAGGCTCTTGCGTCGGATGTTGTGTTTGCTCAATGGATTCGATCCTTTGCATGTGCCACTGTGCTGTTGCTGCCAACACCCTGTCGGCCTCTTGGCCTTTCACTGGCAAGTGCTACTCTTGCTGCTGTGCGCAGCACCGGCAGGTACCTTACGTAGCTGGTCGACAGGAAGATCCGCGAGTGCAGGCCACCAGCGTCCAGAACTCGGCGATGTAGGAATTGGCTGCGCTTCGGGGGCGCAGCAATGACCGTGTTGGTTGGGGCTAGAATGCGGAATATTGCTGGTTCGGACCAATGTAGACGTACTGGGCACTTTGTTGCCGTATCAATCTCTCGAACCCCGACCGTCCAATTCAGGACTTCACTCGGGCTCAGGGTCCAGGGTTTGGGGCGGGGACCCTTGAAATGGGTTTCCCAGGACCGAATTTATCGGGGACGAGGGCAACGAGACTCAAGATCCTAGAACCCTGAGACCCTGCGACAAGCCCTAAGAAAGTGCAGGTGATACCTCCTTGGGCTTCTGCACCATCCCTGCGCCAGAGCCGTACAGGAAGTGGCCCGATTGTACTGATTCTTTTTCGGGTTCGACGGTTTAGCGTGCACGGTCCGTCTGGGATAGTGTTTGGGGTTTCGGGTGTAAGGGTGTCGGGTGAGCAGGGTTTAGGTTTTGGAGCGGCGGCTAGAAGTCCCTCTGGTTTTGTGACATGTTGACAGGGATATGCCGAGTCTGCTGCTTGTTCGCTCTTGGGACTCGAATTCAAAATACTTCAATGAGACCTCGGAAAAGTCGTTCTTGTTCAGAAAGTGTCTTAGTTGATTTGATGCCTCGGAAAAGCCTCCTGCTGGGGCTGCTGCTGCTGCTGCTACTGCTGCTGCTGCTGCTACGACGACGACGACGACCACCCGCGACGACCACGGCGATTCGACGGTTACGACGGTTGCTAGTGGCATGGCTGCGACCACCACTGTGGTCCAGGATCACAAGCAACAGGAGTCTCTAGCCAGAAGGCATCACCCCCTGCAGTCCCTACTCTCAAGATTGAACATTGCGGGACAGGGAGCGGAGGCTTAGGTGCCTGACCTGCCAACGCTCGAATTAATATTTTTGCCAGAAGTGGTGGTCTGGACTTCTTTCTGCACGCACCGCTGGTTGCACTTCTGACCTCAGAGAGTGGAAGTGCAGCCTTGCGGTTGTGCTCCAGCTCCTTAGCATAGCCATTTCTTGTAGCTAACGTAGCTTCACCCTCAGTAGAACAGCCGCTAGGTGCCTCAGAGACGGCTCTGAATGAGCAGCCCTAAGCCTCTGAGGTCGAGGCCCTTTCCAGCGCGCTGGCCAAAGCACTCTGTCCTCGCCAATGTCGCTGGTGGCTGCCATGGCCCAGGGCAACCTCTGAGATGCCTTCGGGTTCAAATTGTAGTTCTCCAACTCCACAATCTTATCATTGCGACAGTACCAGCAATAGTGGTGATCATTCTAAGAACGGATGCCTCAGTAGCACTCTCGCACGGAGAGTCCTTTCCGACTAGCTCCTGTAGGGATGAGATTCGATTGCTCTGGAAAGCGTCTCGGCAACCCCCAAGTTCAAGGTCGTAGCACGGTGCATGCCAGTTTCACCCTCGCCTTCGGGGTGCAAGAGTCGCCCCGGGCCCGAGCCGAAAGAGCACAAAATGGCCGAGTGCAAACGCAAAGAGACCAATTCCCTTAAGGTTCTTGAAGCTTGTCTGAATGAGGCAGGCTGGAGGAGTACATCCGTTCTAGCCATGACGGCTTAGCTTGTTGCAAAAGATTCAATAGATGCATCCTTGATCTTGTCCGAAACTTCAACGACCCAGAACCCGCCAAGCCCAAATCCTGAATCCCAACCCCGCAGCCTGTACTAGAAAGTCAAGCTCCAGCAACAAGCCCAAATCCTTGAAGAACCCCTCTATTCAGAGAATGATCTCAGGACGCATTGCATTAGCATCCGCCAACAATGAAACGACTTTCTGTCAGTCTTCCGATCTGCTTCTGCAACCAACCGCAACGATCGTGACGATGGTAACTTTAGGGCCTTTAGGGCTGACCGGCAGTGAGCCTAATGATTCGTGAAGCAACAGTACTGGTGGGACTGGCAATAATGCTAATGGTCTCGATCATAGCCTGGAATGTTTCCATGGCCACAGTGCTACAAGCGACGAGAATCGTAAGCATCTTTGCTGAAAGCATTGATACCGGTAGAATCAACGGGAAAATAGAAACAAAAGGGGTGGAGTTTTACGCTGATAGAGTCTGGGTGTGATGGGAGTGCAATCGCGACAGTCACTCTACCCAAAGAGCCCAATACCAATAGCATGCAGCCATCCATTGAACTCGAGAAAATCTCAATGCTTCCCTGAAGCCTAGCCAGCTTTCGAGCAATCGGAGGAGATCATGCGCGTAAAGGACCAGGCCTCCTGGGCCACTGCGTTGAGGGTTTCGGTGTCTTTTAGGCTTGCTGGACGTTCTTCTTGGCCTAGCTCTTCGGGGGGGTTCGCTCGGTTGTGGGCTGTCGTTGTAAACAAGCTTGTGCTTGTGCACGCTGCCAGACATGAGGGTTGGTGTTCTCGTTTCTTCAGCTTCTAGTGCTTAGTAGCATGCTTGACAACCTGCTACTTTTCTGTGTCCGGTGGTCATTGTTATTAACACACGATGCTTTTGCCACGGCAGGTGTTGACATCACAAGCGTCTGCCTACCACTGTTTCTCAGCCTCCACCCCGTTTTGTTTTGACCCCCTGCATCGCAAGGACCCGAAGCCTTCAACCCTAAACTTTACCCGCCGTCTTGAGCATGCGACCCGTCGCGGAGTTGAGGAGCTTCCTGCGAACTTGAAAGCAGAAGAGGCTGCGGCGATATTCCGTCTAGTCTTGCATGGACGCCTCGAGAGCCGGAGCGCGACGCTGTCAAAGGAGACGCGTCGGCGTACCCCGAAGCCGCAAGTCTCGCACTTCCCAGAGCGCTGGCATAAGAGGTCTCTTCCGTGCCGTAAGCCATTTTTTGTAGCACCTGTGCACCTTCGAATGCTCGGCGGCCAGATGGCGCCTTAGCTTCGAGGTCTCGGCCCTGGAGCGCCAGCTTTCGACGGTTCGTGGAGAGTTGGAGGAGGCAGGAGCTGAAGATTGAGGTGTAAGGTTTTCGGCTGTACGTCTTTGGGGCAAGGTGCAATCTTCATCGTCCAAGGTTTGTAGAGGAATGTCGTCTGACGTGTCTTGAACTTGTTGGGCTCCTGCCCTCTTTTCGGTGCAGTTTGTGTCAGTGTTTTGTGTCAGAGTACTGCAAGTGGACACCCCAATTTGGGACACTACTGATGCTTCGCGAGCGGACGTAAAGACCATCAAATCCCAAGTCCTATGCTATGTTTGCGTGTTAGTGATGTTGGGTTGCATGGGAGCCGGGGTGTCGCACTTTGTAGGGCTTTGCCTCACTTACTTCAGGTGTTCGCGGCGTGTCCATGCAGGGTCTTTTCTACAGCTTTGAAACCTTTGAAATGCGTGCTCGCACCTGCAGCGTGCCTACGGTGGCTCTGCGATTTCTGTTACCGGTGCATGGCTGAGGGCCTGAAGGGGCCTTCGGGGAGTTCGCTAGGCAAGCAGCGCGCGAGTTGCTTCAATGATTAAGCTTCAGCTTTTTGATGGCTATGAGAAAAGAGGTTTTTGACAGGAATCTAGCTCGAGAATTTCGAGAACTCAAATTCGGCACCGGCAGCATCGTAGCACCTGATCCGCCAACCCCAGCAGTCCGAAATCCTATACAAGGGGTCCCATGCCCGGAACCCCAAACATCCCGACACCTAACGAGACTTAGATAGCCTGCATCTAGCGAGGATGCGCCTCTGAAAGAGCTCGGAAACTGGGCTGAGAGGAAGGCTCGGAGTCGGAAGCAAACTTGCGCGGCCTGCGCTTGGCATTCGACCAGGGGTTCAGGGGTTAAGGTGTTTGGAGTTCAAGTCAGTTCAAGAAGTTGATGGGTTCAGGTCTTAAGATTTGGTGGAACGGTGCTAAAATCACTTCGGCCCTCAGCTTCTTGCGAAAAGCTTCTTTGCCCTGCCCTCCGCCCTCGGACAGAATCCGTCAGCGCCGCCGTAGTCATTCCTTCGAGTGCGCAAGCAACTGTCCAGGAAGTCTTTTTGTGTCTTCTGCCAAGAAAATGCCAACGGGTTGCAAGGGGATAGTACAACGCGAACAGGCAGAGAGATATTACTGTTAAAGCGGCCGGTGGAAAACCCTTGGACTTGGCGTAGTGTTGGGCTTCATGGGTTTCTGGCCCGGAGGGTTGAGTTTCCAGCTCCAGGGTTCGGAACCGGAGACCTCAAGTGGAGTGCAGCAGAAGCCGAAGGCCGAGTCGAAATGATGCAGAAAAACCGATGCCAGAACACGCTAAATCCGAAACCTCTGAAGCCGAAACCCGGAAACTGTAAGACTGTAAGACCCGAACAGTCTGCACCTCACACTGTTTTCACCCTTCGCAAGCCCTGGAAAGATCATGACTCCGCCAGTTCGCCATGGAGAGCCAGCGTCTCCAGAGCTTGGAGAAGGAGTTGGGCAACACTGAGGCTTGTGCAACAGCCTGCAACATAAAGAAGCCCTAAAAATCCTGACTGGAACCTAAAGCACCGTAGTAGTCGACGGAGTTTGGGACTTGGAGCTTGGGGTCCAATTTTGAGTCCAGGTTTGGGCTTTTTCGGCTTGGCGCTTCCTCTAGGGCTGCTTCGTCGTGGAAACAGAGCCTACTGAAGACTACCCGGCCCGAATTGCTTTCCCTTTCCGTCTTGCGGGCAAAGACAACTGGACAGACATGCCACCCCTGACCCCAACGTGGTCCTTGATCTCGCGGAAGCCTCGCTTAGCAGCGCAGTACTGAGTGAAGCTAGAGCATTAAGCAAAAATAAGGAATCCGTGAATTGCAAAGCTTTTGGACATCGCGAGTCTTCAATCGATTCGAAGCTTTCTATCCAGTAAATACACCACAGAAAGATACTTTAAATCCGACCCACCGAGAATTCTGCATCCTCAAGAACTCACAATTTCGGCCTTGCGTCCAGTGCTTGGGGGATGTCAGGGACCCGGGCAAGAAGGCTAGAAGCCCGAAGTTGTGAGATTAAATCATGCTGATAGCCCTTGTCCTGAAGGTGCGGTCGACGGGCCCTTCAAAGACCGCTGAAAAAGACCCCCTGGGCTCCGTAGTCTTTCAACGTGGCAGGTGCGGCTCGGCACCAAAGTGCAAGAGATGAATGCCGAGGCTGCTTGCTGCGCTTCCCCAGCTCAGGTCATTCTTACACCTGCGCTGGGCTTGCGCGCTTTTTTGTTGCAGCTACGTTCCCGTCGCACCCCCAACCCCGCGAAGACTTTTCAGACGCGCAGCCCTGGAGCATAGCTTTGTTTGGTAAAGCAGGCGTTCTGTAGAGAGGGGTGTGCAGAGTTTCACCGTCGTATGTCGTTGATGCAGCATTCTTCTGAGAGGTTTTAAAGTTAAGAACAGTGGGGTTATTCTCAGCCAGAGATCTGCTTGCTGGAGTTCACTGCAACAACAACAACGTTTTGATATACAACTAAATTTTTGGGGAACCCAGATTGGAAGCACTCACAAGTAGGCAAAGCCCATGCCTAACTATCCAGCTGAGCAGTGCGATCGTAGATGCCTCGACTTCAGCTCAACACCTTCCAGCCTAGCTTCTTCCAATAATCTGAATCAAGCCTCACAAGATCTGTATAAGCATTTCCTTAGTCTTGGTCGGAGGTGGCACGCATCCGGCTCGATCTCGAGCTGGATCCCCGGGGTTACACGACCTGATGCCACCATGTTTGTCCACATCCTAACCTGGAAATCCTGGTTTCAGGCTCCGTGTGCAAAGGGTCCTGGTTTGGGCATTGTGATCTCAAAGGACCTGGCATTCTCATCCAGCTGTAATTTTCACTATTACTGACAGCTTCCCCGCACTTCCGCGCAGTGAAGCCTACTTTTCTAGCGCTTAATTCATGCTAGACCAGACTTGTTCTCTTATCGAAGACATCCGGAGTTTCCTCGTAAGAGTTGGGAAAGGCCCTGAGGGTGTTTGTCAACTGCTTCCCCTTACGGTGTGGAGTTCAAGATTCCGAATCTCGAGGCACCGAAACACTGGTAGCACCAGACCAGCACAGAGCCCCGCGAAGCAACTTCCGGCAGCCTGCGAGTTCTCGTGGCCACAGATGAGAAGGTGAGGAAAACTTGTCAGCGTCTCCATGGCCGTGGTGTCGATCACCACCACCATGAGAGTCAGAGTGTCCCTCTGCAGCCACATGGGCCCAGAGGTGTATGGCAAGAACAACCCCATACCCCGGCTGCTCAGCGGAACACTTGAGTATCGGAGCCCGATGCCTGTGGCAACGAGATGCCTCCAAGGCCCCTCTAGTCTTCCAAGAAGGAGGGCCGAGTAAAACCAAGATCGAAAGTCGAGCCCATTGAATTGACCAACCCAAAACCTTAAACCCTAAACACCCCCGCAAGTCACTCGTTACATGCCGTTTCGGCCTGTCGTCAAGCAGCCTTTGCAGCCGAGCTGGTGCCGCTGGGTCCTCAATCCACGAGGGTCGCCCGTCAGGGGGTTTGGAGTTTTCGAGTGCTTCGGGCTTAGGCTTAGACCCTTCAAAGTTATGGGTTCAGAGTTTTGTTTCTCACACAGCTTCGGACAGCTCAGGCGACCATTAAGCCCTGAGCCACAGCTTGTTCGTTCGAAACTTTGGGTTGAAGCAATCATTAGTTGTAAACTCTACACCATAACACCAGAGGTGCCGAAACCTTCCCCGCAGGCCGTCCGCAGCCCCTGTACACTGTAGGCACCATCGAGGGTCCCGCACTTCTTCGAAACTCGCAAATCTTGAAGTTGTCCTACCCGTCCAAGCCATGCTCCTATCCACCCCCAAACTCCCCCAACTCCCCCGCTCCAGAGGGATCCTTTGCGGTGTTTCGAGTGGCTTCGTCGGGACCGCTCAAAAACCCTCCAAAGGCCATGGCCGCGGTTTGCTGCAGCGCTGGCCCCCTCATAGCTCTGAGCCGACTCCTAGAGTGGCAGAGGCTGCAGAGCCTTTCGTTTTGCTTGACGGTCGTGTGTTGCACAGTATTACTACAACATATACTACAAACACATACCTGCATAACAGCACTCAAAATAATGACACGTATGATTAGGTTTATTGATTATGATTGTGCTTGTGATTGTGACGATGATTATCGAAAGTATTAGAAAAAATCATTGTCAATCTTCATCATTGTCAGCACCATCATCATCATCATCATCATCAGTATCATCAGCATCATCATCACCATAGCAGTATCAACAATGAGACCAACAACAGCAGACATAATATAAAGAAGAATAGTAGTAAGAGTATTAATCATAGTAGAATCAGTAACAGTAGCGGCAGTAGTAGTAGTAGTAGTAGTAGTAGTAGTAGTCGTTGTGGTAGTAGTAGT